GGGCAGCTGGTTGTTAAGATTCATAATCTTTCGGCAATCAGTTCACTAGCCATTCAGTGGTAAATACTTAAAGTTCAATGTTCATAATTATGCTAGCGATGTTGTACAGTATACATGCAACATCATTGCTCCAAATGTAATTATTTGCAAATGAATCAGGTGTCAGGTGTCATGGCGGCTAAACACGCTTCGAAGCGCTCTATGCAAATTCATTCAAATTCAAATTCAAATACGCCCATAAAGGAAAATCGATCAAAAATTCCGAGAGTTAGTGATACGCCGAAGAAATTGGAAGAGGAAAAAACAGCGCAAAGTGTACAAATGGAGGATATATATGAATTAATTTCATCAATGAACGAGAGGCTTAAGAAACTTGACAAATTAGACATGATCGAGGAAAGAATCAAGGGGATGGAAAGCGAACTTAAAGAAGTCAAGCACTCAGTTGAATATGCTCATGGTGAGATTGAGGATATGAAAAATGCGAACAGCCTGAAAGAAAAAACTGAGCGAGAAACGATGGGACGGCTCGAAAAACTCGAGGCAGAAAATGTTGCATTACAAAGCAGCGTAATTGATCTCAAGCGAGATCAATGCGCGATAACTTAATTTTTTACAACGTTAAAGAAAAAGAGGGTGAGAGCACTACAGTATTAATCCACGAGATTCTCGAGAAACGCTTGGATATAGAGAATGCATCAACCAAAGTTATTATCGACAGGTCACATCGCATGGGAAGGAAATTGTCGGCTTCGAGTAAACCGCGTCCTATAGTGGCGAAATTTAATCGCTACCAGCAAAGAGAAGATGTGAGAGTCAACGCGCATAAATTAAAGGGTACAAAGATAGGTATATCTGAACAATTTCCCGAAGAAATTGCAAAGGTAAGGAAAAGCCTTTACCCTGAATTTAAGAAAGCGAAAGCCCAGGGGAAAAAAGCCAAATTGATCAGGGACAAATTGATTATTGATGGCCAGCTGTTCAAGCCCACTGGATGTTAACAAGGAACAAGACACAATGGTATCAAATTACGATAATCTTTACTTAATTTTATATATGTCGAGGCATAATATTATTATTATATGAACATTATTTCTTAAATATTCTACAGATAATAACTATATTCTAGAATTTATAGATGTCTCAAGGTAACGTAAGCCGGAAGCATTACGCGGATATTTCATGTGACAAACAGCTAAATTATACTAATGTGTTATCGGGAAACATTTGTCAACCTTATTTAAATGATGTCTTGCCTTTTCAAACTCTTTCAAACGATGATTTTTATTCAAGTATAAACGAAAATGCTTGAGTGATAGAGATATGGATAGACTGAATCTACTTAAATTTAATCCATTCAATTTGAATAGCAACATAGCATTATGTGATAATAATGCAGACCTAGATAATGTTTTAGACGTAAGTAAAATAACATGTGAATATTTTTTACCGGCAAACTTCAAAAAACAGGCGAACTCGATAAAATTAGATCAAGAAGATCTTTTCTCCGTCATATGCTTAAACATAAGAAGTATTGCAAATAAGTTTGACATGTTTAAACAACTTATCAACTCAACAGAAGAAAATTTCCAGGTAATTGGCCTAACAGAAACATGGTTAAACGATGGGAACTGCAAAAATTTTAACCTAAACGGATATGATTTTATTAGTCAAAATAGAAATGGGAAAAAAGGTGGCGGAGTTGGGTTATATGTTGCCGGGAAATTGCAATATAAACCTCGTCAAGATTTGAATATTAACAGAGATGAAACTATTGAATCTACTTTTGCTGAAATAACAACAAAAATTGGGAAAAATATTGTTGTGGGAGTAATATATCGGCCACCGAATAACAAATATGATTTGTTTGAAAATGCTATAAACGAAATCTTAAGCAAGATAGATAAGGAAAATAAAATTTGTTACCTCATGGGAGACTTTAATATTGATTTATTAAAATCAGAATCTTGTGTTTTTGCAAATAAATTTACTGAACAACTTTTTACATCCTCCTTTTACCCACTCATAACAAAACCAACTCGTATGACTTCACACACTGCTACACTTATTGATAATATCTTCACAAACAACATCGAAAAAATCAATTCAAGTGTAAATGGCATTCTTTTTAGTGATATCTCAGACCATCTACCAGTACTTCATAAGTGTTCTTTGAGTAGTCTAGAATACAGTGAAGATCCAAAAGAAAAATACTATGAAACGAGAATTTTCAATGATTATAATACTCAACTTTTTATTAAAGATATTAAAAATGTAAACTGGGATGGTGTGCTATCTTGCGACAATCCACAGGATTCTTTTAATTGCTTTTCAAATTTATTCATGGCTAGTTATGATAAAAATTTTCCCGTTAGTAAAATGAAAGCTAAAAACAAAATTGATAAGCAAAAAAGTCCTTGGCTGACTAAGTGTATTCTAAAGTCAATTAGAACGAAAAATCAGCTTTATAAAAAATTCTTATCTTACCCGAGCAAGAAAAATGAGAATAAATATAAAAAGTATAAAAATAAATTGAATCATGTAATTCGAATCTCAAAACGGAGCTATTATGAAGAACAATTAATTAAATACAAACATGATTCAAAGATGATCTGGAAAACATTAAATGGGATACTGAATACACCACGAAAACATAAAGCGCTTCCAAATGAATTTTTGGACATTAATAACTCAAATAAGAAAATCAAAGATCCGTTTGAAATTGCAAATACATTTAACAATTACTTTGTTAATATAGGACCGAACCTTGCGAAGGGAATTAATCATACATCTAACTGTAACTTTAATAAATATTTAACTAATTCTTATCTCAACAGTATGTTTCTGGACCCTACAACAAATTTTGAAATTGAAAATGAAATACAAAAACTGAAATTGAATAAAAGTCCAGGGTATGATGGTCTAAGAGCTAAAATAATTAAATGTGTGAGTAATGTAGTGTCTAAGCCTCTTACACATATATTTAATCAATCATTTGTTACTGGTATTATCCCTGATGAGTTTAAAATGTCCCTCGTAACACCTATATACAAAGCAAATGCAGACAACCAATTTGAAAACTACAGACCAATTTCAGTTTTAACATGCTTTACAAAAATACTTGAAAAGCTTATGTACAAAAGGCTAATTAAATTTGTTGAAAAGAACAACATCCTAACAGATTATCAATATGGATTTAGGAAAAACAGATCAACTGAACTAGCAATGATTGAACTCGTAAATAGAATCACAGAACAGATTGATAAAGGGAAATATACGGTTGGTATTTTCCTAGATTTGTCTAAAGCATTTGACACAATAGATCACAAGATTCTGATGGATAAGTTAAACTATTATGGGATTCGTGGTATCACAAATTGTTGGTTTGAAAATTATCTTAAGAACAGGAAACAAATAGTAAAATACAAACAAATAACGTCAATTCAAATGGTAACACAAACTGGTGTCCCACAAGGTTCTGTACTGGGCCCATTACTTTTCCTGCTTTATATCAATGATATCCAAAATTGTAGTGACATAGTTTCACCAATATTATTTGCCGATGATACAAGCGTACTTCATAGCCACTCATGTCTAAAAACATTAACTGAAACTCTTCAAATTGAAATTAACAAGATAGCCGAATGGCTAAACATAAATAAATTATCAATAAATGTTTCTAAAACCAAGTTTATTTTATTTCGGAGTTTGAACAAAAAACAAAAACATGGCGTAAAGTTGACTATTAACAACGAAGTTATCAAACAAGTCAAAAGTACTACATTTTTGGGAATCATTGTAGACGAATGCTTAACATGGAATGAACATATCGATTCAGTTGCTAAAAAAATAATTAAATCAGCTGGCATTATTTCCAAAATTCGTCATTATACTAATTTAAATACTTTGAAACTTGTTTATTATGCTTTAGTCTATCCATATCTATTATATGGAAATATAATCTGGAGTAATACATATAAAGCACGAATACAAAAACTGATAAATATCCAAAAGAAAATAGTTCGTCTCATGACATTTCAGCCGTTCTTTTCTCACACTGAAAAAATATTTGATGACCTACAGATCTTAAGTTTTAGTAAATTAAATAACTATCTAATAAGTTTATTCATGTTCCGGTACCATCATCTGCAAAACTTGCCACATTCATTTACAGATTTTTTTATAGCAAATAGCCAAATTCACCAATACAGTACCCGAAACTCGTCAAAACTTTATATGCATTATCATCGAACTAATTATACTAAGCACTCACTCTCAGTGAAAGGAGTGGATGTTTGGAATAATCTTGATGCTAGTTTGACAAAAATAACATCACTACCAATCTTTAAAAGAAAATTGAAAATACATTTTATGAACAGTACTATCTAGTGAACTTATATTTTAAACAAAGAAGTCAAATTCATATCCATGCATGTAATTAACAGATTATGTCTTTATAGCTCAGGCTCTCCATACTCTAACTTTTCTCCTTATTATGTACTTTATTCTTACTAGTAAAAGCAATATTAATGTATTAATCTTCCTATTCCTGTAAATACTTTTAGCACTGATTGACACTATATAAAACTTTGCACTGGACATTTAACTAGGGGTCTTACCTCAAAAGCCTATGAAGGTTTCTTCAGACTCCTAGCCCTAGTATCATAGTTGTAGCTTTAATAATTTTATGTAAATAATTACCTCAATGATTGGCCGAAATAAATAAATAAATATCAGGCTATCAGCATGAAAGAAAGGTGCAACTTTAAAAACTGTAATTGCCACTGATGAAAATCCCAATGGAACAACTCGGTTGGTGGTGACAGCAGTGGCATAGCCACAGGGGGAGGGACTGGTGGGATGAGTTCCCCCCCACACTCTCCGTCAGAACTAACTTCGAGATATGTTTAAATCCGTTGAGAAACTGGGGGGGGGGGGAGGG